CGAGGAGGTGCTTTCCGCTAGGTGGACAACTTCGTTAGCGACGGGGGAGCACCTGGGTTGGCCACTAGCATCCTCGATGATCCAGAGCTGCTTCTTGTCAGCACGGAGGAGATACCCACATTTACGGTGGCTGAGCGCGATGCAAATTGGCGGCGGGCGATGCTGGAGGAGATGAAGGCGATCGAGGACAATGGGACATGGGAGCTGGTTGATCTGCCGACTGGCTGCTGGCCGATTAGGCTCAAATCGGTCTACAAGGTGAAGCGGGGCGAGCGTGGCGCCATCGTCAAGTACAAGGCACGGCTCGTTGACCACGGCTTCATCCAACGTGAGGGCATCGACTTTGAGGTCTTTTGTTAGAGGCACAGGCATGCGGTGGAAGACTAGGCAGCATGCAGGAAAGAGTGTTACAGGCACAGGCATACGGTGGAAGACTGGGCGGCATGCAGGAAGGAGTTAGGTGTTGCCTATTCTTAGGATCTAGACTGAGTTTGAGTGGCTGAGTTTGAGTTGTTAGGGAGATAAATATATGTAATCTGCAATGGAATGAATCAAGCAAGAATTGGAAGGAAGAGCCTTCTCTCTTGCTTGGCCATGGGCAAGGCCCCTGGCCGGCCCCCTATCTTCCTCACAACCATAGCCACCATAACATCTGGTATCAGAGATGCCAGGTTTCGATGAGGGTGACAAACAGTCCACCGTGCCACTGACGTCGCCGCTGGATCCCATTGCCAAGGCAGTGACCGACCTCTCCCAGCAGGTGGCATCTCTCTGGGCATGCCTAGAGGCCCTAGAATCTCGATCGTCGGTGACCACCACCACCATGCCGCCGGTGTTCCCCTATGGCTTGCTGGGCTATGGGACGACAGCCGTCTCTATGCTAGATTGCGCTGTAGGTCTATCCCAACTTTGATTGCCTACTTCATGTCGATCGTTCATGCGGCATGGATAGCGCACCATCTTCAAGCGGTGGCGCTGTTTCATCCCTATAGATTGGCTAGCTGCTGCAGCAGCAGCCTTGCAGCAAACAGAGAAGATGAGGGAGATTGCGCAGGAGAGTGCCCGCCAGGTGTCAGCAGCGTGGACTCCTAGTGCATCGGCAGGTGTGGGAGATGCGTGATCTGCAGTTGATTCAGCCCTGCACCCCTTCGTAGCTCCTCCAAGTTGCTCTTCGCCGTGCAGCGGACCTCAATCTCATCCACCGCATTGGGGATCTTGGGCATGTGGTTTCCCTTGTGGGCGGTGTGCATGTTGTTTCCCCCCGCGGGCGGCGGGCATGCTGTTTCCCTTGCGAATGGCAAACTCAGAGTATGCGTTGGCGGTTGGGGAGGCGCACCCCTCCTCGCCGTTCTCCATCGGAGTCCCTTCTCTCTTCTCTGTGTGGTGCGGACTATGCCATGGGATCCAGGTGGCTGTATGTGTGCAGCTATTTCATTTGGATGGTGTCCACCTTCAATTGAAGATGCCGGAAAAATAAAGAGAGTCCACATCTATTTTCGATTGATAATAATAAAATGAGCCGAGATGTAAAAGGCTTATTTTTAGGTGTTAGGTTTATGTCGAGTGTTGCATTATCGTTATAAGTTGGTTAGGTAGCAGCTCGAGGACGAGTTGCTTGTCCATGTAGTGTTAGAGGCACAGGCATGCGGTGGAAGACTAGGCAGCATGCAGGAAGGAGTTAGGTGTTGCCTATTCTTAGGATCTAGACTGAGTTTGAGTGGTTAGGGAGATAAATATATGTAATCTACGGTGGAATGAATCAATCAAGAATTGGATGGAAGAGCCTTCTCTCTTGCTTGGCCGTGGGCAAGGCCCCCGGCTGGCCTCCTCTCTTCCTCGCAACCATAGCCACCATAACATCTTTGCTCCGGTGCCGCGCATGGAGTCCGTCTGCCTGCTGCTGGCCATGGTAGCGGTAAAGGATTGGCGCGTCCACCACCTCGATGTCAAGTCAGCGTTCCTCAATGGCGAGCTCGTGGAGACGGTCTTCGTCAAGCAAGCTCCGGGCTTCGCCGTCAAGGGGGCAGAGCACAAGGTGCTCAGGCTGCGCAAGGCGCTCTATGGGCTCAGGCAGGCCCCACGGGCATGGAACGCCAAGCTTGACGCCACTCTGGGCGAGCTCGAGTTCACTCGCTATGCCACAGAGCACGCGCTCTACACGCGGCGATGGGAGAAGGAGGAGCTCGTCGTCGACGTGTATGTGGACGATTTGATCGTCACCGGAGCGCCGAAAGCAGAGGACATCGACGGTTTCAAGCATGAGATGATGGCTCATTTCAAGATGAGCGATCTCGGCGCGCTCTCCTACTACCTCGGCATCGAGGTGAGGCAGGGGAAGCAGAGTATCTCCCTGGGCCAGCGCGCCTACGTGGAGAAACTGCTGGAGCACAGTGGCATGGCGGAGTGCAAGCCGTGTGCGACTCCAATGGAAGAGCGGCTGAAGCTGTCAAAGCATAGCACGGCGGCGAAGGTGGACGCAACACGCTATCGGAGCATCATCGGCGGGTACGTCGTGTTCACGGTCGGGTACGTCAGCCAGTTCATGGAGGACCCACAGGAGGATCATTGGACGGCGGTGAAGAGGCTGTTGCGCTACCTCAAGGGGATGCTCGATTAAGCGATCATCTTTCCCAAGCATGGCGGAAAGGGTGGGCTACGCCTCACGGTCTTCAGTGAGGTACCCCCCAAAGCAAAGGAAGGTGAGCTTGAGCTCACTGTCTTCAGCGATGCAGACATGGCGGGCGACATCGATGGGCGATAGAGCACCTCTGGCGTGCTCGTCTTCCTTGGAGCGTCCCCCATTGCTTGGTAGTCGCTGAAGCAAAAGATCATGGTGCTGTCGACATGTGAGGTGGAGTATGTCGCAGCAGCCACGGCGACATGCCAGGCTGTTTGGCTACGCTGGCTGGTAGGCGAGCTGACCGGCGAGGAAGCTCACCCGCCAGCACTGATGGTGGACAATCAACCCACCATCACCCTAGCCAAGAACCATGTCCTCCACGACCGAAGCCAGCACATCTACATCAAGTTCCACTTCCTCCAGGACTACGTCGATGGAGGGTAGATCATCATCGAGTTCATCGGGACCGGTAGACATCTCGCTAACATCCTCACCAAGTCACTTTGGCGCCTGTGGTTCATGTAGCTGAGGAAGATGATTGGCATGGATGAGGTAAAGGTTCAGGATTAGCAGCAGGATTAGGGGAAGAATTCTAAGACATAATCTGTTGTTGATCTCTCTCTCGCTTGCTGCAGCAGAGTTGGCATTTGGTCAGCTCGGTTGTCCAGTCTCTATTGCTGTAGCAGTATGGCAATAGGCCACCTCTAGTACATTAGTTAGTAGCTATTACATCAGTCATATCTTGGTAGTGGGCTGATCTAAGCTTTGTACTGCTAGTACTCGGAGTAGTTGGGGTTGTACTCAGCCATACTCATGTGTACCTTATAGTTGGTACATGAGTTGTATATATATCACACTTAAGGCAATGCAAAAGGGTAGTTCAGTTTGCCACATTCAGAAGCAGAGCTTCGGCCAGGGCTGGGCTTGTTATGTGTGTGTGTTCTTGAGCTCAATCTCTCCTTCTACCTCTAGCCATAGTGAGTGAGTGAGTGTGCTGGTAAGCTTACTGCTTACCTGTGCAGGGCAGCCAGGGACCAACAAGTGGTATCAGAACCGTACAGATACGTCGTCGGACTAACCGCCGGCGATGACGGGTGATCATGGCTCATAAACGGGTGACAGTAGCAGTGCTGCTGGGGCTGCCCAGCCACGACAGGAGGTCGTTGTGCGCACGGTGCGGGAGGTCAGTGGCACCAATTGGCCGACGCTGACACGCACCAACTATGGCGAGTTGGCGGTGACCACGAAGGTCAAGCTCAGAGCCCGACGGCTCTGGAATGCCATTGACAAGGGCACCGACAACGAAGAAAACGACATGTCAGCGATGGAGGCTATCCTCGTTGTTGTGCCGGTGGAGTACAGGGAGCCATTGGGGGTGAAGAAGACTGTTAAGGAGGCGTGGGAGGCCATTGTGGTGATGCGCGTCAGTTCCGACCGCGCAAAGGCGGCGACGGCCCAGCTGCTGAAGCAGGAGTACGCCAACCTCAAGTTCCGCGACGGAGAATCGGTGGAGGACTTCTCCCTCCGCCTGCAGTCACTCATCAACAAGTTGGGGAGCCATGGCATCACCATCAACGAAGAGGAAGCGGTCTCCAAGTACCTCCACTCCGTGCCAGTGAATTATATCCATATCGCTCTCTCCATAGAGACGATGCTAGACCTGTCTAGTCCACCCTCACCATTGAGGATGTGATCGGCCGTCTGCGGGCGGTGGACGAGTGCATGGAGCAGGCCACGGTGACGGCGGATAGCGGCAAGCTATTGCTGACGGAGGAGGAGTGGGCGGCCCAGATGAAGGAGAAGAAGTCTGGGAAGTCTCCTCCAAGGGCGGCAACGACGGCAAGCGCCGCGGCAAGGCTTCTTCAGAGAAGAAGAAGAAGAAGGTCGTCCCCAACGCTCTGGAGGCAGCGAGGGTGGGGGAGACTGGGAGGGGACGTGCGGCGGCGGTCGCTAGGATCCTCCCGAGCCGCCCGACGGGGGTGACGCAGGGCCTTTTGCTTTCTTGGCGTAATGTTATCTAGTAGTGCAAGAAAAGGCCATTTAACCTTTGTTCAGCCATGCATATGAATATATGAATACGAGCAATATTGCAATAGTCATAGGCCATATATCTTGAAATGGATGTAGTAGTACTCTTGACTACTCGTGCACAGGATGACCATGTTTAGAAAGTTTGGGTTTTCCTGCCCTACTGCTCCAGAATTCTTATGTGTATATAAGTTCTTCTGTAGACAAAAGATTTGACGGCATCCTGAAATCCACATAATCTGTCTTATGGATAAAACATTTCGCATGTAGTTTCCATCTGTTGGTTGTGAAGCTGCTGTTTAACTGAATATAGTTTGTTCCTTCTAATCAATTTTTTTGTATTAAACTCTAGGGGCTATCGGAGCAAGCACACTTTTGGGGTGCTTTTGGGTTGTGTTCTTTAATAACTATGGTAAGATTTTCAACATCTTTAAGCCCCTGTTATATTGACACATCACAACACATCAGAGCTGCATCAACTATTGACTAGTTTAACCTTAGCTGCATCCAGTTGCAAAAATATTTTAGTTTATGGATAGGTGTCCTTAAAAAATTTTGTCATTCTTGATATCTCTATGAATGCTGACATTGAACATGTGAAAAATGATGTATGCAGATTCATATTGTGAAGTTTTTTCTCGAATATGCAGGAGGACTGCATATCATTGCATTAAGAGAAGAAGAGTTAGGCCAAAATAGCCATTCATATTGAGAAGTACAACAGTAAAATTATACACACTTAGTAGCTTTTATAGATATTACAATAGGCTATAGTTATATTTTAGAGACCATGAGCAGGTTGAAATGATTGCTTTACTATTGCCCGTTGCACTTGTGCTGGCACTTTTGCGTGTACTACTCAGGATCTTACTAGTCATTATTATCTAGATAAAACATTGATCCTGGTTACATAATTTATGATGCGGATTTCGATCTTGGGAGGTGATTTGTGAGAGTTTATGTTGGGATTTTTTTCTGGTTTATTTTAGCAAGGGGAGAGAAAAAGGACAGATTATTAGATATGAACTAGTGAATAGCTATTTTTAGTGCTTTTCCTTTTCGAATTTATTTGGTGGAGAGGGGCAGTGAAAAGATGACTGACAAGTGACAAGGCTCTTTCTGATAGTAAACATTTTGCTTCCTGTACTGTATATGGTAATTTTGTTCCATATGTATGCACACTGATTAGCAAATCGCAAAAATAAAAAAAATTAAAGAAAGAATAAATGTTTGAAGTTATATTAGTCAAATCATGTTATAGTCACATTTCACATGCATATAGATGTGAACATTATAAACACATCTATACATTTTTCAGAGGAAATGGTTTTATCTTCATATGGTCCTGAAGTTACCTTGTATTTCATTGTATTATTTTCAACTAATAATTTGTATGATCATAATTCATGCTTGGTCTATTCATTTTATGCAGGCCTACACGCTAGCTGGGCTGAGTGGAGGTTTTCTAACATTTTTCATTTCCATGTCCATGCTTCTTGGGCGATTTGTCTCTAGCATCAATAGGAAGCAGTGGAGCCAACAATCACCTAGGTGAGCAAATTCTACTGTTTTTATTGATTCTCCTTCAACTATTTTCCACGTTATCAATGTGATTCAGTCAAACACAATTGTTTCTCACTTCAAAACAAATCTATATTTTGGTTGCTCACTTGAATATGTCATAATACCTGCACTCTGAGGTTTATCTTGATTCAGTATTTCAGTATATGGACACTTTGAGTTAGATATTCACTTGATATGGAAAAAATGGTAACATCCGTTGCACATTGCATTTTTTGACCTCTTATTTGTTCTATATCAAATTTCAGATATTTCATGCTCTTATACTTTTTTAATGTTAATTTTGTCCCCTTGTTATGATCAGAGTGTTGATGATTTTACATGAAAATTTCTGTGTCATATCATCCTATACTGTAAAATTTTCAAACAGAATCCCTATGCTAACACCAAATCCAACCATGACAATATGTTTACTTCAAGATCTGGCTTGAATATCTTTGATTGAGACCAATAATGTACAGGCCGTTGGTTGCGTATGTGCTGCCTATGATCCCATGTCTCCTTTATTGTCTTTACTATGGCGGATTCCTTATCCAGTTCCTGATTGAAAAGATGGGCATGATGGGATCTCTTCCAAAACCATATGGTTAGTATGCTACAGCTGATTTCAATTGACAATTTCTTCAAGTACTTGTGTCGTTCAAAAGTTTTGTGAGAACAGTTGAATATCATACTTGCATTAAGACAACTATCGTCCAGGACACCCTAACTTTGTGCTGTTTTCTGACCGACGCCTGTTAAATTTGGTTCGCCTCCAGTGCACTCCTGTGCTGTGGGTCCTTAGCTGGAAGGCACTCCCCTTGTTAAAATATGATTTCTTCTTCATCCTCCATCTTCTCTTATGATGATTTGCATGTTAATTTTTCAAAGGTAGTAGGACATGTTGTACCTGACTTATAGAAAAAATAAGGAGAGTAAAATACTGGTTATTGGGCTCCACCATCAGACTTGGGCAAGGCAAGATAGACCTTTAACGAAAAGACATTGAGCCAGATACTTGAGATTGGGCACGTCAGAGAAGACAACACCCAAACTCAAGCGCTGGGGTAGATGAGGATCTCTCCCTGATAATTCAATGCATAAATTTAACTGTACATCCTGCGGCAGTCTTTATAGATGAGGTGCCTTGGCCCACACATCTGGCGACGGCTGGCCTCCATGACACCTTGACTTTGGCTAGATTTCGTTTTCATCCCTCAAAACTCCACAAAACCTTCAATATGGCGTGTCCTTGAGAGCAGACTCATGATAGAACGGCATTCTATCACAAATGCCACAATGGATTGCATCAATTAGATAGTCAACTTGCCCTGACCCTGATTTTACTTGAGTACTGGATATGCTACTAGACATTATAAGCTTGAATGGATTATGTTCTTCATTGGATATATTGCATGGATTACTATTAGGTCCAGAAAAAAAATGTAATTAAACAGTAAACTCCAGCAATTAACAGCGTCATGATTTGGCTGTTTTGCAGGATATTTTGTGCCTGATGTTATTGTTGGAGCTGTTGTTGGATTAGTGGTTGGTTGGTGTTTTGGTCCTCTAGCACCTGTTGCTGGTCGTTGGTTGTCGAAGACCTCAATTTTCCATGTCTTTCTGCAAATTACAGTGGTTGCTTTGGCTATCTCATCTCAACTGTTTCCTTACAGCACTGGAGCACCAAAAAGAGTTGTTCTTCAACATACTTTTGTTACAGGTTCGATGCTTTTAGGTTCCCTGAATTGTAGCAAAAAAAATAATGTATCTCAATTTTGTTTGGTGCAACCAAATTAATATAAAGAACTGAGACTAACTAAGTTTGAGGCTTGGAGTCCTCTTCCGCTCAAATCTTGGTGCTTTCTTTCTTAGTACAAAAAGTCACCTAATTCATCATGGGTGGTCTTCTTTCCAAGTTTTGAATCAAGTGAAACAAAACTCTATTTCTGTTTCATGGTCATCATGTTCAATGTTTCATTGTTTAAAAAGCTGTAACGATTTAAATATTCATTTGATCCTTTGGAAGTCACTTTTTCTGGTGCTACTCTGCTTTGGACTTAAAATAAGTTCTCATTTATAATCGAGTCCTGGAGTCAGGTCTAATTTTCTTCTCCATGGAATAGTATAGGGTTTCAAACTTATTTCTCAGTTGCAAAATTTTTGGTGTATCAGTGGAAAAGATCCTTGTTTTTGGCCCCTGCTGCAAAAACATGTCCTCTTTGGGAACCTATTTTACAATTTATTTGACTGTAGTCAGAGGCTCTGAATATTTGACATTTGTAATTTGATGCCTTTAAAATTTTTACTTCTTCCATAGTAATCTATGTCACGAGCAGTAAAAGTTGTCTTAAGCATATTTTTGGCCTTCCCAAAATATGATTTGTTCTAGGTATTCCCATAACATTCCTGTGAAACATTATGCTTGATCTTTTTTTCAGATGGTAATAATGTTATAGATTCAAGCTATGGTTTCTCTGTGGTTGATTCTAACTCATTGGAGTTTCTTTTCAACAATGCACCTGAGGCCGCCAGATGGCTGAAGGATAACTCTGAGTTGTCTTTTGAAGAAGAATATCGGTCTGATAGAAGCTCATGGTTGGTGAGTAAACATAATTGTATAGTTGGATAGTGTAACATTGAGTGACCTTGCAAGTTCCCTTTGTCAATTTTCAACACATGTTGTGCCTTTATGAATGCTCGCGACGAAAGTACATGAAGCAATATTCAGCAATACAGTTGTTTCATTTTGCAGGCTCTGTACCCTGTCCCGTTCTTGTTCTCTGGAAGTTTAAAATTTCAGGCACAAACTGAAGAGATTAGAAAGTATTACCAGCGTTTCCCTCAGTTAGCTGTTCAGGAGATCTGGGATAACAATGGGCAGCGAAGGGTGCATCTCAAACTTTCACTTGGGTAAAAGTTATATTTTATGCATATTTATGAAACCTGTAAATGATACCCTTTTTTATATGCATACTTCAATTTATGATTTTATCTGTTTCAGTTCCTTATCAGAAATTTGGACCTCTGTGCTCAATATTACTGGGCCACTATCAAATTGGTCCTTTGCTGATAACATGCTCCCAGGTGGTTGCAATTATTTATGCTGTTTACTTTTGTTTGCTTCCATTAGACTCGCTGGATAATAATTTGTTCTGTTTATCCTCGTTAGCTCCTCAAACTGTAAGTGGCGGGCCACCATCATATATTTGTCGACTCAGTGGAAAGAGCGATGTGGATTGGTCTTTCTGGTTGGAGGTAATGATAATATGCTCTGCGAGCAAACCCATGGGAATCACTGCCAGGCTTTTTTTTATTGATGTTTGAATTTCCATTAGTTCTTATGTTTACATGCACTCTTGTCCAAAATATAGGAAACTGAGTCACTAAGACCAAGTGGCCAATGTATACTGTAAAAACACAGCAGAGTTTTAGTTACTCCATTCCACTTTACCTGTCCAATTGTCTTAGGCACATTCTGAGGTATACATTCATGAGAGACTTCACACAGACTCCTGATATCAATTTGGTCTTCTGTCACATAATATGGGTTTAATAGTTATAACATTGTGAGGTTAAATTCATGAGAGTTCAGACTCCTGATATCAGTTTGGTCTTGTGTCATATAATCATGGGCTTTATAGTTATGTTTCACAATGTACTGCTTAGATTTCACACGAGCTGACAACATGTTCTCATCCATCCGGCACTGTTGTCCTCACTCCAACTTGGCCTACTGCCATGGACAATGATACCATGTTGTCACCTGAAGTTTTAAAGGAGATGTTTAGTGAAACATTAGAGCCACAAACCCGGGCTTATATAAAAACTGCTATGCCATGAATCAAGATAGTAGGAGTTCCCCCTTTTTTCCTGACTAATCATAATATTTAGGTTGCCTATGTGCCCGTTCGGCTGATCACGTCTCATCTTGTTTCAGCTTGTTTCAGTTTATTCTCTCTCACATAATACTATTGAATCATCTGAAATCATCCAAAAACTGAACAACCGAACAGGCCGATCTCTCTCTCTCTTGCCGCAGCAGAGTTGGCATTTGGTCAGCTCGGCTGCCCAGTCTCTACTGCTGTAGCAGTATGGTAATAGGCCATCTCTAGTACATTAGTTGGTAGCTATTACATCAGTCATGTCTTGGTAGTGGGTTGATCTAAACTTTGTACTGCCAGTACTAGGAGTAGTTGGTGTACCTTAGGAGTAGGTAGTTAGTGTACTCACCAACCACTATGTACCTGGTAGAGGTACTAGCACTTGTATATATATCACACCTAAGGCAATGCAAAAGAGCAGTTCAGTTTGCCACATCTAGAAGCAGAGCTTTCTGTGTGTTTGAGCTGTTCTCAATATCTTTTTCTACCTCTAGCCATAGTGAGTGACTGTGCTGGTAAGCTTACTGCTTACCTGTGCAGGGTAGCCGAGGGACCAACAAGTGGTATCGGAGCCGTATAAGCGCCGTTTGCCTGACTAACCGCTGGCGATGACGGACGATTCGGAGATGGGCGACAGCTGCGACGCTGCTATGGCTGTCTAGCCACGACAGGAGGTCGTCGTGCGAACGGTGCGGAAGGTCAGCGGCGCCAGTTGGCTGACGCTGACTCGCACTAACTATGGCGAGTGGGCGGTGACCATGAAGGTCAAGCTCAGAGCTCAACGGCTCTGGAATGCCATTGACAAGGGCACCGACAACGAAGAAGACATGTCAGCGTTGGAGACTATTCTCGTTGCTGTGCCAGCGGAGTACAAGGAGCCATTGGGGGCGAAGAACTCTGCTAAGGAGGCGTGGGAGGCTATTGCAGCGATGCGCGTCGGCTCCGACCGCGCAAAGAAGGCGATGGCCCAGCTGTTGAAACAGGAGTACGCCAACCTCAAGTTCAAAGATGGTGAGTCAGTGGAGGACTTATCCCTCCGCCTGTAGTTGCTAATCAGCAAGCTGAGGAGCCACGACGTCACCATCGGCGAAGAAGAGGTGGTCTCCAAGTACCTCCACTCCATGCCGGCGAAGTACATCCATATCGCTCTCTCCATAGAGACGATGCTAGATTTGTCCACCCTCACCATTGAGGATGTGACAGGCCGTCTGCGGGCGGTGGATGAGCGCATGGAGCAGGCCACAGCAACGACGAACAGCGGCAAGTTGGTGCTGACAGAGGAGTGGGCTGCTCGGATGAAGGAGAAGTCCGAGGAAGCCTCCTCCAGCCGTGGTGGTGATGGCAAGCGCCGCGGCAAGGCTTCTTCGGAGAAGAAGAAGGTTGACCCCAACGCCTGTCGGCGCAGCGGGAAGACGGGCCATTGGGCAAAGGAATGCCAAATCGCAAGCAGGAGCAGAAGGCTGAGGCTCATTTAGCGCAGGCTGATGAATGATGAGGCTACTCTCCTGATGACGACGTTCTATGCACTGCATGACGTTGAGGCCAAGGAGAAGGGAGAGGTGAGGGCGGTGGAAGGACACGGCAAGGCTCTGAAGGCTGTCAACCTCGATGAACCGCGCGCCTAAGTCCACCTCGGATGTGTGGGCGGTGAGCAGGAGCAGCGGTGGTACTTGGACTCCGGCACCGGCAACCACATGACGGGCTCCATGGAAGCCTTCTCTGAGCTCGACGGCAATGTGACCGGCACGGTGAAGTTCGGTGACGGCTCAAGGGTGGTGATCCAAGGGCGCAGCACCTTCATCTTCAGGTGCCAGAATGACGAGCACCGCGCACTGACAGATGTATATTACATCCCGCAGCTGCGTTCAAGTCATGTTGATGAGCACGGCAGGTACTGATCAAGGACGACGTCCTCAGGATTAGGGACCAGGAGCAGCGGCTTCTTGCCAAGGTGAAGAGGTACCAGAACTGGCTGTACCTAATCGACTTGAAGGTGGAGCAGTCCATCTGCTTGGCTGCACGGCACACGGAGGAGCCGTGGCTGTGGCATGCCCGGTATGGCCATCTCAGCTTCTACGCTCTTGGTCGGCTAGAGAAGATGGTGACTGGGCTGCCTCATATCGAGCACGCAGGCGAGCTGTGTGACAGCTGCCTGGTCGGGAAGCAAAGAAGGCTGCCGTTCCCGAAGATGGCGAAGTAACGTGCGGTAGAGGCCCACGAGCTGGTCCATGGTGACCTCTATGGGCCGATCACGCCGGCGACGCACGGCGGGCGCAAGTACTTCATCTGCTGGTGGATGACTGCAGCCGGTTCATCTGTCTATAGCTTCTGACTAGCAAGACCGAGGCAACGGAAGTAGTCAAGAAGTTCAAGGCGCGCGTGGAGGTGGAGAGCGGCAAGCTGTGCGTGCTGCGGACTGATCATGGCAGCGAATTCACTTCGATGGAGTTCGCTGCGTACTGCGTGGATTAGGGTGTGGTGCGACACCACACCGCGTCGTACTCGCCACAGCAGAATGGCGTGGTGGAGCGGCGAAACCAGACGGTGGTCAGCATGGCTCGATCCATGATGAAGGCCAAAAGCATGCCGACAAAGTTCTGGGCAGAGGCAGTGACCACGGCGGTGTTCATCCTCAATCGTGCGCCCACCAAGGCCCTGAAGGGCAAGACTTTGTTTGAGGCTTGGCATGGACGCAAGACAAATGTGCCCTTCCTCAGGACATTTGGTGCGTCGGCCATGTGAAGAACACCAAGCCTCACCTTGGCAAGCTGGAAGACAGGAGCACGCCGATGGTGCTCCTGGGCTACAAGGAGGGCACCAAGGCGTATCGGCTCTATGATCCCAAGAGAGGCAAGGTGGTGATCTCTAGGGATATGGTGTTCGATGAGATGGTGACCTGGGACTGGGAGGGTCCAGGCACGGGGGAAGCTGGCAGCTTGAGCAGCACCTTCGTCGTCGAACACTTAGTCATCCACAGTGGTGGAGACGCTAGAGAAGAGGTGCCGACCACCCTAGGAGTGGAGCTGACCACTCTAGAGGGGGTGTCGAGCACACTAGAGGAGGTGTCGACCACTCCAGCAGTGGTGTCGAGCGGTTCAGCAGTGATGCCGACCACTCTAGCAGAACAGGGAGGCCGGGGACCACCGATATCGAGTTCATCTCCCCTTCGAGCGACATCAACGAGTTCGTGGATGCCTTCCACGACAGCGAGGAGGTCGGTTGGCGGCTGAGGAGCAGCCAAGTCCAGCCATGGTGGTGATGCCTGAAAGCAGATCTCCACTAGCAGCGGCGCACTCACCTCCAGCACAGTCCCCTACGATGGCAGGATAGGGGACACCTCCACTAGAGTTCGCCTTTCCACCCACTGACATCGATGAGTACGTGGACACTTTCCACGATGGCAAGGAGGTCTGGTTCAGGCGGGTGGACAACATCGTCGGTGAAGGGGGAGCTCCTAGGTTGGCCCAGTCGTTTTCTCGATGACCTAGAGCTGCTCCTTGTTAGTGCAGAGGAGCCACCGATGTTTGCAGTGGCTGAACGTGACGCCAATTGGCGCCGCGTGATGTTGGAAGCGATGAAGGCCATCGAGGACAACGGGACATGGGAGCTGGTGGATCCATCGGTGGGCTGCAGGCCGATCGGGTTGAAGTGGGTCTACAAGGTGAAGCAGGACGAGCGCGACGTCATTGTCAAGTACAAGGCTCGGCTGGTCGCCCACGGCTTCGTGCAGCGTGAGGGCATCGACTTCGAGGAAGTCTTTGCTCCGGTGACACGAATGGAGTCCGTTCGCTTGCTGTTGGCCATGGCAGCAGCAAAGGATTGGCACGTCCACCACCTCGATGTCAAGTCTGCGTTCCTCAACGGCGAGCTCGCGGAGACAGTCTTCGTCAAGCAAGCTCCAGGCTTCGCCGTCAAGGGCGCTGAGCACAAGGTGCTCAAGCTATGAAAGGCGCTCTACGGGTTCCGGTAGGCCCCTCAGGCGTGGAACGCCAAGCTTGATGCCACCTTGGATGAGCTTGGGTTCACTCACTGCGCCACAGACCACCTTGGGCGAGCTTGGGTACACGCGGCAACGGGGGAAGGAGCTCATCGTCGGCGTGTATGTGGACGACTTGATCATCACTGGAGCGTGGGCGGAGGACATCGATGGCTTCAAGCGCGAGATGGTTGTTCGTTTCAAAATGAGCTATCTCGGCGCGCTCTCCTACTACCTCGGCATTGAGGTGAGGCAGGGGAAGGAGCACATCTCCCTAGGCCAGCACACCTATGCGGAGAAGCTGCTGGAGCGTAGCGGCATGGCGGAGTGCAAGCCGTGCGCAACTCCAATGGAGGAGCGGCTGAAGTTGTCCAAGCACAGCATGGCGGCGAAGGTGGACACGACGCACTACCGGAGCATCGTTGGTGGGCTGCGCTACCTCACGCATACTCGGCCGGACATCACATTCGCGGTCGGGTATGTCAGTCACTTCATGGAGAACCCGCGCGAGGATCACTGGACAACGGTGAAGAGGCTGCTGCGCTACGTCAAGGGGATGCTCAATCAAGCGATCATCTTTCCCAAGGGTGGGCTGCGGCTCACGGTCTTCAGTGAGGCACCCCCCAAAGCAAAGGAAGGTAAGTCAGAGCTCACTGTTTTCAGCGACACAGACATGGCGGGCGACGGAGCACACTGTCTTTAGTGAGGCACCCCCCAAGGCAAAGGAAAGTAAGCCGGAGCTCACTGTTTTCAGCAAAAGATTGTGGCGCTGTCGATGTGCGAGGCGGAGTCATTGCAGCAGCCACAGTGGCATGCCAGGCTGTCTGGTTGCGCCAGATGCTGGGCGAGCTGACCGGCGAGGAAGCTCACCCGTCAGCTCTGATGGTGGACAACCAGCCCACCATCGCCCTCGTCAAGAACCCTATCCTCCATGACCGGAGCAAGCACATTGACATCAAGTTTAACTTTCTCCGGGACTACAT